ACAGCTGCGGGGGCGAGCGAGAGAGGGGGGGGCGCTAAAAAGGTTTCACTCGGGATCGTTCGAAAGGTTTCACTCGGGATCGCTCGGGGTCCCTCAACAGGTTCCACTGTCGGCGGGGAGCTGTTGCAGCTGTTGCACTGTCGGCGGGGAGCTGTTGCAGCTGCCGCAACTGTGGCCAGAAGGGGAGGTTGCGTTGCGCCGTTGCAGCCGTCGGCGGGGATCGCTGCCACGGTTTCGCTGAGAAGACAGTGGACTGCGCGGCGCGCCCGAAGCTGGGGCAAGCGCAATGAAAGACGACCCCCATGCCCACACCTGGCTTGCCCTGCTCGCTTCTCCGACGCTCTGAACTCCAATCCTCCCGCCTCCGCCCCTGGCAACTGGCGACCTTGAGGTCCCCAGCGGCGGGCAGCGCCGCTCACGGCAGCGGCGCCCCTTAGGGGCGCGGGGGGCACGGGGAAGGATGGGCGCGGGGGGGGGGCACGGGCAAGAGGCCACTTTGGCACAAGTGGCCGCTTTGGTGCGCAGTGCCGAGTCAGTTTGGAGCAATCGTCTTGTTGCGCCTCGCGAGGGCGGCGCAACCTCTAGCCTCTCTTCTCGCGTCTCGTGAGGCGGCCAGCGAGGTTGGCATCATAAATGTTGCGTTTTTTTTTGAACTATGAGACGGAGGCGATGTTTTCTGAACCTCCTTACGACGGACTATGAGACGGATGCGATCTTTTTTCCTGAACCCCCCTACGCTCCATTAGCCTTCCCAACGACTGCTGGGGCACCGTGCTGCAATGGACGCGTCAAGCCGCATAATCCAATTCTTCGGACTGTTGTAGAGCTGTTTGCAGGCCTTCTTGACCTCCGTCTCTTCTCCTGAGCGGCACAACACGCAAGCCCGCTGCACCAGTCGGGGCATGTCTTTGGCATGTTTCTTGAAGAACCTGCAGAGCTTCTTGGGGCCCAGGTAATAGATCACGCACCCACTCGGCGCCTCGGAAAGGGCTCGCAACATGTGGGGCAGTGTAGGGAGGTCTGCTTCGAGAGCCGCTGTTACAGCGACATGGTAGCTTGTGTTGGAGCTCCGAAGCCTCTCGGTGTACTGGATGCCTTCCGGAGGGTCCCGCTGTGCAAAATCAGCGGGCGTCGTGTAGAAAGCTCCCGTGAACGCCGCTGCAATCTGAGCGGCGATGCCGAAGTCTGTGCCGGACGTGGCAGCCAACACAACGTTCCCCTTCCTCCGCGCCGCGTGGCTGTCCTGCTCGGCCAGGCGCCTCAGGAAGTCCACGGGGTCGTAAACCAGCTGGAAGTGCAGGCGCTGCGCCTTGCGATGCGCTGCCGTCTCTCCCCTGCGAACCAGCATGAGGCCAGGGGGGCGCGCGGGGGGGCCACGTAGGCGTCGCGGCCCACAGGTCCCGGCCCTGGACTGCGCAAGACTTTCTTCTCCCGCGCACTCCTGGCCTTGGCGGCGGCCTTCGCCCCTGCGATATGCGCTCTGGCACCTTGGCTTCCCGCTTGGCAACGGCGGCCACGACTGTTGCAGCTGGGCGGACTGGATCTGCCGCGCTCGCCTGGGCCGCTTCCTGCGCCACCGCAGCGAGATCGGGGCCGGCCTCCGCGAGAAGGCGAGCGCGCTTGCTCGGGGATGCGGCCACCATGGCGTCGACGGCAGCTGCTCTCTTGCGGCCGAAGCCTACCTCTGTCCGACGCCATGGCCGAGGCTCTCTGGCGGTTCCCTTGTCGCGCCTCTCGGCCCTCCTCAACGTCGTTGCGATCTTCCCCTGGAGGCGCTCATGCAACTTGAGCACTTGTGCGTGCCAGCGCGCGCTGGCAGAGCTCTCGTCCCGCTCCTGCTGGTCCAGCCACGCGCGCGACAACTTGCTGGGGGGCGCTTCGTCCACGAGCGTGCACTCCTCAACGGTAACGCCCAAGATTCGAGCCCTCTCGGGGCAATGCACCTCAGAGAAATGGCGGAATCGCCGCTCCACGTTGCCCGTGCTCGTTTTCCAGACGAGGAAGAGCTCCACGAGACTACGGCCGATGGCGAGCTCAGGCCACTGCGCAGCAGCGCGGCCCCAGGCCTGCCGCGCGGTGCCCCCGTCTCGGTGATGCTCCTCGGCGCGCCTCAAAATTTGCCGCAGCTGGGGGACTGCCCGCTGCTCGGGAAGGTTTGCCTCGCGGCAGATGCGCTTCAGGCAGGCCTCAGCTTCTGTCGCGTGCTCCGTTGCGCCCGCGTCTGTCGCAGACAAGGGAGAAGGCAGCCGAAACGCAATAAATGCGTGCAACCATGAGTGCTCTGGCCGATACAGCTCCATGTTCTCCTTCACGTTGGCAACGATCTTCTGCCCCCGCCGAAGAGCCGCCTTGATGGCATCGCGGGCTGGGTCCTCCGTGCGCCGATCGCCGAGGCCCACCTCCTGGGCGCCGTTGCCGCACGGGTAGCGGGACGTGCGCCGCAAAAACTCCAGGGTCTCGCCCGTGAAAGTGGAGAGCATGCCCACAACCGTCCCCTGGACGAGCGGCGTGTCCAGCCTTGAGATGAAATCGTTGGCCCTAGCTTGAACGCTTGCAGCGTCGGGGTTGCTCTGATCTCCGGTAGCGACCCAGGAGTAGTGCTCCGCGCACACGTCCGCCAGCAACGCCCCCAGGAGCAGGCGCGAACTGTTCTCGCCCCCGAGCCCTTCCAGGAAAGATCGGGCGAGAATGCGCCGATCTTGGTCACTCCCCTGGGACTCCTTTCCGAGCGCATTGAAGATAACGTTCCAACGCCGGCTCTCCCGTGCCAAGGGCCTCGCCCGACTGTTGAAACGCTGGGGGGCCCAGCCGAAGTTTTTGACGAACGCAGTGTCGTCTGCCACCTGTTGCGCCCCCACTTTGTTGCGGAACGCGGTGGGGTTAGTCAGGAACTTGGCCAGGCTCGGCGGCTTCTTACCCGTGACCAGCAGCTGGTCCGTTATCGTGATCTCGCTGTCCTCTTTCATGGAGTTGGCCAGGAGCTTCTGGGCCGAATGCGGCTCGCCCCACGCGTAAAATGCCCGCCCAGGGAACGTGCGCGTTGCAAGCAGGGGAACAGATAGATCAGCCCCATCGCTGCACCATGCCCGCATCTCCCCTCGCACGTGCTTGTGCAAGTCCACGTCCAGTTCCCCGCCCGCCGTCTGGCACGCGCGACGGACGCACTCCCCCAGCATGGAAGCCTTGCCGTCGCCGTCCATGGCCCGCGGGAACTCCCACATCCCGATCACCCGCTCCGCAATCCAGGGCCCTCGGGGGCCCAGCTGCTCCAGCCAGCCTGCCTTGAGACCGTGCGCGGGCAGAAAGTCCAGAGCCTTTGGGATCGACCACAACAACGTGCCAATCTCGACTTGGTACGTGCGGCCGAGGCCGTCCGCAGCCAAACGAAACACAGCACCCTCTTTGAGAATCCTCTGCGTCGCGATCTTCTCGTACTGAGCCAATGTGGCCACCACCTTTCGGCGCTGCTGAAAAGACTCCAAAGCTGCGCGGTCCTGCCCGAGGAGCGCACCCCGCCAGACATCGAAACTTCTGAAGGAACTGGACGTCTCCATGAGTGCACGGGCGGCGACCACTGCGCGGCCGCCAACGCGCTGGTCGGCGGCGTGGACGACGACGGGCGCCTGCGCCGCGGCTGTTGCAGCTGTTGCAGCCGTTGTGGGGCCTTCCACTCGAACCTGCCGTTGTGCGCCTTCCGCTCGGATCCGCTCTTTCCACGCCGCCTCTGCTGCCTGGTGCTCCTGGCCCTGTGCGTGCCGCGCGAGGTTCTCGCGACGGCCGAAACTCCCAGTGCCTTGCCCAATGGTGGATTGGCAACGAGGGCCCTTGAAGGCCGAGCAAAACAAACATATTGCAGATCTACCACCTGCGCAGCCTATCCAAGTTTCAGGCTTCAGGGTGACTGAATTCGCCGCAGACAGAGAGGCGCTCCACTTTTCTTTGTTTTCCACAACTTGCAAGCCCCGCACGTCGTGACGTGCTTTGGGTAGTTGTGACTGGCGACGTGCTCCTCCAGGGTCATGGAAACAATGTCGAACTTCTCGACTACTTTGCTCGGGGCGGAGCCGCTGTTGGAGTCGCTGTCGGAGCCGCTGTTGGAGTCGCTGTCGGAGCCGCTCTTGGAGCCGGCGGCCTCGGCAACTCCGCCGGCATCGGCAACTCCGTCGGCGTCGGCAACTCCGTCGGAGTCGTCGGCGTCGGACGCTCTGTCAGCGTCGGCGCCCGAGCTGTTGCAGCCGCGGCTCGACGGGGCCGCTCTCGATGAGGCCCTCGACGAGGACGAGGCCGCGCTGGCAGGGCTCGACGGGGCCGCTCTCGATGAGGCCCTCAACGAGGACGAGGGGGCCGCGCTCGACGATGGGGCCCTCGACGAGGACGAGGGGGCCGCAGGGCTCGTCGGGGCCGCGCTCGACGATGGGGTCGCAGGGCTCGTCGATGGGGCTGCAGGGCTGCTCGCTGGGGCCGCAGGGCTGCTCGATGGGGCCGCGGGCGCGCTGGAGGACATGGCCTTGACCCAAGTGCTACGGACGTTGATGATGATGATGGCAAATTCGATTGTCGTTCGTCGAAGGATCAGCAGCATCATCATCAGCTCCACCATCACCATCATCATCATCCTCATCATTATTGCATCATCACTATCACCATCACCATCATCATCACCATCTTGCATGACCATTACGATGATCCGCATCGCCATCATCACTACGATAGCCACCATCATCACCATCACCATGACCATCACCACGGGGGGGGACTCAACTAACTCAACTAAAACCACCCTAAAGACAGCCAGATGGATTTGTTGCTCTGGCACGGTGATCGACCTCCCCTGTGCGAGTTGGTCACGCTGCACCAGTGCATGTTCGGACTGACGGACGACTACGGGACGCCGGTTCGGAAGGCCCCGCGCGCGTTGCTGCCCAATGGCTCGTGCTTCTCGTAGTGGCTCGACCGCGCGTGCGACAAGAGCCACGAGCACGCCGACACGGTCGGACGAGGCACGCTGCTCTCGCGGGCTAGTGCCTGGCCGGACGACCTGGGCAAGACCCTGGCGAGTACTGGCACGCATGAGCTAGCGCGGCGCACCGACCTGAAGAAGCTGGGCATCGGAGACGGTGCGACGAAGGTCCCGGACCAGCAGACCATGCGCACGGTGGTCAAGGAGTTCAGACTGAGGAAGGACCTGATTGACGTACGCGTGCTGAGGCAGAACGAGGCTGTTCCCCTACCTCGCGGAGCTGTGCGGCGCATATACGCCATGTGCACTGACTAGGGCGTGCTGGCCGATTTCTCCGGCGCCTACGCGAACGACCCGAGCTTCGCGACGGCCGAGCTAGCCACGAGGCACCCAACCGACACGGTGGTCGCGACCTACGTGAAGGAGCCGAAGGCGCAGGCATCTTCCATGCGACGGTGCCCTTACTCGGCAGCCGACCAGAAGCATTCAAACCAGACGATCGCGAAGCAGACGCAGCACATCGAGATCTACATCGCGAGGGTGAAAGCGTCGGCGACAAGCCTTCGGACATCACCACGGCTCAGCGGGGCGCTCTACGGAAGCTCCACCTGAACCTGAATCACCCATCGGCTCACGCTCTGAAGCGCCGCCTGAAGTCCTACGGGGTGTCGCAGAGGGTGCTCGATGCGGTGGATAAGCTGGACTGCGTCGCATGCAAGGAGCTCGGCAGACCCCACACTACGAGGTCAGCCAACCTGGAGCTCTCGACAGAGTTCAACCAGGACGCGTTTCTGGACAAAACCGAGGTGATTCTCTCAGATAAGACACGGTTGATGGTTATGGTGGTCCTGGATGACGCGTCGAGTTTCAGGGTCATCATTCCTACTGTGGCAGGGCGGTCCATCACGGGCGAGGAGAGCCTTCGCTGTTTCTCGCAAGGATGGCTCTCGTGGACTGGCCCTCCGAAGGTGCTCGGCTACGAAGCAGCGAAGGGCACCGTCACGCAGCGGTTCGCGGGGATCGGCGAGAAGTACAACACCCTGATGAGGCCGGTCCCGCTAGAGGCGCCTCAGCTCACTGGCAGAGTGGAACGGGCTATCGACTTCTTAAAGGACCATTTCCAGCGCCTGAACCGCGATGTGCAGCTCACCAAGAGCGACGTCCCATCCGTTTGAACCTCGGTCATTGCGAGCACGCGCAACAACCGCGTCCGGCGGATCGGTTTCACGCCCTACCAGCATGTACTGTGACGATCGCCCAACGTCCCGGCCTCGCTGATTGAGGCGATGGAGGGCGACCAGAGGCAGCTGGCAGCGCAGAGCGCAGCCCTCTTCGAAGATGGCCCCAGGAGGGCCGAGCAGATTCGCGCTGCGGCAAACCGGGCGTTCTTCGAGCTGAACAGCGACGACGCCGTGGGAAGGGCCACGGTTGGTCGAGTTCACCCGCCGCGCGGGCCGTTCGTGCAGGGCCAGCTCGAGTTCTACTGGCGCGAGGTGAATCACGTGAAGTCGAAGCGGCTCCAGGGCGAGCGCGGGCGGCGCGGCCCGGCCATTGCGCGGGCGGCTGAGGGCCACATCAGGCTGCACCTCAGCTACCATAGGGCGTCGGCGCTGCTCGCGACGCCCGAGCAGGTGCGGCATGCCTCTCGCGGTGAAGCTGAGATGGTGGAGAACGAGGACCTCGCCAGGCAGCTGTCGCAGTGGCGTGAAGGGCCTACCCTCCAGAAGGGCATCGCGGACGAGCGCCGGCCTGGGCCTGACGGGAGCGGCGGCCAACGTGCCCGGCATCGCAAGAAGGACGACGGCGACTCACACTACGAGGACGCCGCGGGCGACGCGCCGGCGGCCAAGACGCCGCGGGCCGAGGAAGCTCCACCGCCTCCCCTGGGAGGTCCGAGGCTTCTCGCAAGCGGGAGAAGCAGACCAAGGAGGAGGACGCACCTGAACCTGGAGCGCCACCTAAAGTACCACCACGACCTGGAGATGGACACGACATGCAGGACGTCAAAGCTGCGCCACTACCTGGAGATGGACACGAAATGCAATGCGCCAAAGCTGAAGATATACTCGGGGATGGATACGAAATGCAAGATGTTACGGATGACGGCCCACCTGCACCGGATGCAGCTGGACAGGTGCGCGCCACCGACCTAGACGCGGCTGCTGTGCCAAGTGCTTCGCAGCAACAACCTGAGCAAGAGGGGCAGCCAGAGCCTGCGCCACAACTTGGCCCTTGAGGGTCTCTCTACAAACGATCACTACCTGAGGATTTCGTCGCAGATCGCGAACGACTTCGCGCGCGTCGCGAAGCTCTCAAGCAGAGTCGTCTCCCGAGAATCGAAGACGACGAGATGGATGACGAAGTTCTCTTCCCCAAGGTGAAGAATCGTTCGAGGGGCGCATTTGCGGCGAGGAGGACCGACGCCGCGAAGAGGCAGGTCGCCCCGCAGAAAGGTCGGGGGCTTCGCAGCATCCCGCCAGAATGGAAGACGGCATTCGAGGCGAGCGACCTGGAGGAATGGCGCAAATGGATCCAGTACGGAGTGGCCGAGTGAAGAGGAGCTCGCGGGCGTTGAGAAGGCGGACATCCTGCCCATGAGGCGCGTCCGCGCACAGGAATGAGCCGACGAGGGGCGGTCTCTCGCGCGAGCAACACCCGCTGAAGGCGAAGTCGCGGAACGTCGCCCCGGGCTACGCGGACATGCAGCTGCTCGCGGGCGAGATGCAGACGCACGCGCCGACGCTCGCGGACGCGGCCACGGCGGTGATCCAGGAAGCCACTGGCTAGAAAAGCTGGGGCCTCGAGCAGACCGGCGTAGATTCGGCGTGTCTGAATGGAAGATATCTCGACACCTCTAGGCGCGCGTGCTTCCGTGCCCCCGAGGGCGGCGCGCCTGCGGTGCCGGAGCTCGGATGGCTTTTCGTCCCAGAAGGGGCTATCCTGAAGGCGAAGAAGGGCGTCTACGGGCTGAGCGATGCACCTCTGTCATGGCATGAGGAGCATCGCGACGCCATCATATCGCTTCCCGGGGCTGCGAGATCCAAGCTGCGCCCGGTTCTCTTCATCTTCCGAGACGAGAAGGGGGGCTGAACGGTCTGATAGGGGCGCACGTCGACGACGATCTCGTCGCGGGGTCGCCCGAGTTCTTCGCGAATCAGGTGGCCAAGCTGAGGAAGGCGCACTGCTGCGGCAAGTGGCAGACGGCGAAGGTGGGCTTCCACCGCTGCGGGCGCTTCCTCATGCAGACCGACAGCGGCGCGATTACATGCAGCCAGAAAGAGTACGCGGAGAACATCGAGAATATTCACATCTCGGCCGAACGTCGGAAGACAAAGGAGGCGAGGGCCACGGCGGAGGAAAGGGCCATGCTCCACCACGGCAACGGCCAGATCCAGTGGCTCGTCCGTTCTACGCGGATGGACTTGGCGCTCCAGCTGGTGGAAAGCCAGGCTAGGGCTCACGACGGCGACCTGAAGGTGGAAGATCTGCTGGGCGACAACAAGCTCGCGAGCGACGCCCAGACCGACCACGTGGACAACGTGATTGCGGCGGCAGTGGGGGGCTCGAGCCACGGCGACACGGGCAAGACGAAGACCGCTAGCCAGACGGGCCTGGTCATCTTGCTCGCGGACAAAACTTGCGATCAGCTACTGCGCGGGAAGCCTGCCAAGGTCACCCCGACGTTGTGGCGATCGCATCGCATCAAGCGGGTAGTATGGAGCACCCTGGCAGCCGAGGCGATGGCAGCTCTGGAGGCGGTCGAGAGTGGCGACATGCTGAGACAGCACCTGGTGGAGTTGCACCGCGGGCTGAGCTACCGGGCCCGCGTGGACGACGCGAAGGCGATCAGGATGGTGGAGGCCACTGACTGCAAGTCGCTCTGCGACCTGCTTCAGAGGCGAAGGGCGATTCCGTCCGAGAGGCGGCCGCTGATCGACATCGAATCGCTCGGGAACGACATTGAGTTCAACGACGTGGTCAGCCAGTGGGCGAACGCCCAGCAGATGCTCGCCGACTGCCTTACCAAGCAGGACGTGCGCGCTGGCGACCACATGAGGCACGTGCTCCGAACGGGCGAGTACCGATTGACGGAGGACCCCATGGCAGAGCAGATGATCTCTGAACAACGGACGGAGCTGAAGGGTCGCATGGGGCGAGTACTACCGCTCGAAATATCCTCGTGGACACCGACCTGCCGACCAGCCTTTTGCACGAGAAGGCTACGCGTACTGCGGACCTAAGGTGCAATGCGCACGCGGCTCGACCTGCCCCCGAGCAATATCTCCGTTCGCGGATGATGCTGGGCCAGCGCGAGGACGACATCAACTGCGAGAAGCTCGAGGACATGGTCGACTGGTCAGGGCTGAACCAGGTGGCGAAGCGTCGGGGGATTCCGACCCGCGTGCGCAAGTTACTGGCGATATACGCGCCGATCAAGGAGGCTCTGGAGCGCGACGAGAAGGACTTCACGGAGAAGCACAACCTGAAGAAGACGGACACGACCGAGGACATCGAGCACCACGAGGACACGAATGTCATTTCGGACGAGGGTGCACTTGTGCAGTCGGGCGAGAATTTGAGCACGGACGGCGCTGCGGATCTGGGCGACGCAGGGGATCTACATGATGGGCGCTGCAGGTGCTGAGACCGAGAAAATCTGGCTTGATTTAGGGCGGGGCTTTCGGACGCAACCGACTCAACCTGTTTTTGCATCATTGTCATCATCATCGCCATCACCGTCGTCATGATATTCATCATCGTCCGCGTCATCGCCATCATCATCACCATCTCCTCATCATCGTCATCATCATAATATCCATCATCATCTCCTCGTCATCGTCATCATCATGGATTGGTGATGATGATGATTAAATCAAGACCCGCATGACGATGATGGCGGCGTGAACATGTTGATGATGATGATGACGATGATGAAGCCGATGATTGCGATGATGATGGCGATGAAGATGATGATTTCGGACTGCGCGGGCCGTGCTGAGTACTAATCGGAAAGCCCCACAACCTCCGTGGAAGCGGGCCACCGCATTTCGTCAAGCACCTCCGTGAGGTCGGGCAGCGCCACGGGGACCCGCGCCAGGTGATCGGCCACGACGTGGTTCACGACGTTGAAGAACTCCTTCGGGCCAGGGGTGGCGTCGATCCTGCGCGCCCTGAACTCCCGATAGGCGTCGGAGCGGATCATGACGGCGATCTGCAGCCTGCTGTCGTCTACGCGCTGTTGCAGCTCGTGGTGGGTCGCGAAAAAACAATCCTGGCAGTCCGCGGAGGCGTGGCGGTGCACGTTGTGCTCGAGGGAGGACAGGGTGCCCATGTAGAAGGACCCAGGCTTTTGCTCGAGGGTGACGACCCTTCCGCAGGAGGCTGTGCTCGAGGGTGACGCCCCATCATGTGCTCCCAGGGCCCCTGGGATCCTCACTTGCACGGAGCGCGCCCCGAAAATCGTCACGGCCGCGTGCAACAGGGAGCATCCGCCATCTGTGTGCCAACCATCGTCCCGTGCGCCTGGTTGCATGAGCTGGATCGATGCGTACGCGAACGCGTTGTCGGCGAAGTGCTCTGTCATGATGGGCTTTCCGTTCTGCTCGACGATGGCAGGTGGCATGCCGTCGGCTTTGACAGCCTCGCGCAGTTTGTCTCCCAGCTGTTGCAGCCACGGGCGCATCTTCTTCCGCAGCGCTCGCACGAATGCGGCCATGTGGGGCGAGGGGGTGATCTGCAGATCCCCGCCCTTGTTGAGGCTGCGGCACTTCGGGGGGCTCTCGTCGTCCACGATGCCTGCGACCTCTGTTTTCAAGCCATTTGCCGCCTCGTCGCCTCGGACGCATTTGGAGACGGTTGCTCCCGTGTCCGGGCGCTCCTCGGCCAAGTTCTGCCAGCGCGGGTCTCTCTGGAAGAAGCGGAGCAAGTCTGGGTCCAGCTCCGCCTCCGCCATCGTGCACGTGCCGTTTTTCCCCTGCGCCATGGAGATGCGCACGTCGAGCTGGGCGCCAGCCGGCTGCAGGAAGCGACGAGCCCTTAGACGACTGATTGTCGCTCTGGCGCCAGGGTGCCAAAGCAGGCAGCTCTCGGCGGCCTTCAACAAGTCTGGGGGGCAGTCTGCAAGTTCGCCAACGGGCCAGCGTCCTCGGCCGTCGAGTGCCTTCGCTGTTTCAGCCTTTAGCCAATCCTCGCCCGACCGCTTGAACCACCTCTCAAAGAAAGGCAGGTTGTCCAGCCACGGGGCGGGTTCCTGGCCCTCGTAATTGTAGAAGTCCCCCGACCCTGGCTCCTTGCCTGGGATCCCCAAGACCTCCCTGCAGAAAACCACGAAGTCTTTCGGGTGCCCCCCTGGAAGATGCCCGAGCGCGCCGCAAGGCTCTGGTGGTTGGAACAACACCTTGCGCGTGTACAACTCCGCCATCAGGCACCCGATGGACCACATGTCCAGGTCCTCTGAGTAGCGCTGGTTCCCCAAGAAAACGTCTACCGCTCTGTGAGCGTGCGTGCGTACTCCAGGGTCATCGCAGGTCGGGCTGTAGCGCAGTTTCCTCTTCAACCTGCCGTGGGGATCCGCCATCTCCACACAGCCGAGGTCGGCGAGTACCACCTGCGGAGAGGGGCGGATGGAGGAGAGGGGAGCTCTAACATGGAACGTGATACCATGTTAGAGCTCCCAGGGAGCTCCTTGGAGCTCTAACATGGCATGTTAGAGCTCCACGGGAGCTCTAACATGGCATGTTAGAGCTCCCTTGGAGCTCTAACGTGCTATGTTAGAGCTCCTGGGAGCTCTAACATACTATGTTAGAGCTCCATGTGAGCCCTGACCACTCGGGATCTTAGTCGAAGGAACGACGATGATGACGAGGATGACGACGACGACGACGAGGATGACGAGGATGACGATGATGACGAGGATGCGAGGACGACGACGACGAGGATGAGGAGGACAACGACGAGGACGACGAGGATGACGAGGATGACGAGGACGACGAGGACGACGACGACGAGGACAAGGAGGACGACGACGAGGACGACGAGGACGACGAGGACGGCGAGGACGACGAGGACGACGAGGACGAGGAGGACGAGGAGGAGGAGGACGACGACGACGACGGCGGCGACGACGTCGACGACGAGCGCCTCGAAGGAGCTCGGGATCTGCCAGTCGAACTGCAGCTTGCTCTTTGGGCACGGCGCGACGGGATCCCATTCGCCAAGCTCACGTGATACAAATGCCTGCTTCTCGAAGCAGCCGCGCGTCTGCGGCGATCCTCGCATCAGGATGTTCGCGGGCTTGATGTCGCAGTGAATGAGGCCCCTGTCGTGCATGTACTGGAGCCCTTCGAGAACGCTGTTCAGGACGTGGCGCATCCCTGTCTGCGTGAAGGAAGACTTCTTGAGGAATTGGCTGACATCGATCTCGAACAACTCGTGCACGAGGCCGATGTGCTCCGTCCATTTCCAATTTATCCTTGGTGCTGACTGTTGCAGTTCTCGGTGTGCTTTCTTCGGGAATGTTGCAGCTCCTGGGCACAACCTCCTGAAAAGGCCCACGTCGAGTAAGCGAACGAGACGCGGGTGCGTGCCCACAGCACCGTGGCGCATGACCTCAACCAGAGCCCCTCCGACGGCATCCGCATTGAACCCCTTCTGCGCATCGCTGGGGTCGCCCCGCAGCATCCTGATCGCAAGGCCAGTCTTGTCGCCCCGTCGCGTGCCCAAGTAGACCTTGCCGAAAGAGCCCTGACCGAGCTCCCCTCCTTCCCACTGCGCGTCGTACTCGAGCGGCAGGTCCTCGCACTTGCGCTTCTGTTTGTTCTCGTACGCGTGCCCGACCGCGTCGAGCTTCAGCGCAAGTAGATTCACACGACCCTCGTTGTGAGACACCGCTCTCGGACCAGCAGACCCGCGACGAGCAGCTGCCGGTGGCGTAGGCTCCGATACCCCGTCCGCTGCGGGAACGAGCACCTTCCCCAGCGCGTCCTCTAGGGTTTCTCCTGCGACACCGTGGCCCTCGGCGACAGCTGGCTCATCTTCTGCAGCGCTAGCTGTTCCAGCCCATTTCGCGCACCCTGGCGCCCCCGCAGGCTTGCTCACATAGTCTTTCCAGTTGGCGCCCGGCGCGATCTTGAGGAGCCGCGCGCAGGTGTCATGCGAAACTGGCTTTGGCCACGTCAACGCACATTTGTTCGTCGTTACCTTCTCCAGTGTCACTTTTGCGGTCGGGGCCCCTTTTGCCACCCTGGCCATGCTATTGCTGCAGGTCTCCCTCAGCTTCTTGTTGATCTTGTCGCTGTTCGACCCGTCACCCTGCAGGTAACAGCCCCACTCATAGAAGAGAACCTTGTTCCTGTCGCGACCGCTGCCGCCCGAGGCAGCCATCGCCGCGGAGGCCCGCTGACGGCAGAGTCGTCCCTGCGGGCCCGCTCAGTTTCAGTGAACCGAGACGCCTGCGGGCCCCTCCTCCGTCCTCCTCCTCCCCCTGCGGCCGCTCCTCGGAGCGTTGCTTCCCGTGTCTTCCCTATCCTGCTGCACCCCCATCCTGGCCCGCCCCTACAGAGCGCCGTAAGGATGCAAGGGCCTTGGCGGCATGGTATCTGTTGTTTATCCAGCTCCCCAGCTTCGGAACTGAAAGCGTAGGATGCAACAAGGGTACCCTTTGGAAAGGTAAGCATCCTGACTCTGCGCCTTGCCTGCGCCGTGGGCCAAGTGCGACGGATGGCGACGAAGGGATGACGGAGGACTATGTTCCCATCTGTACGCAAGGTGCCGTGCACTGCACAGGCCAGAATGTGGCGCGCGTCCCATTACGAGAACGGAGGCGACGCCGCCAGCGCGCGACTGTTGCAGTCCAAAATCAAACAAGTGGCAGCTCCACGGGAACAGGAGCGCGCGGGCTGGCTCCTGCGTCGGAGCTGTCGAATTATGTTGCAGCCTGTGCTCAAGCCTGTGCTCTGTTTCAGCCTGTCTTCGGCTTCTTCTTCTTCGAGGCCGGGGAGTCGTCTGAGGACGAGGAGTCTGAGGTCGAGGACGCGTCGGCGTCGCGCTTCTTACCCTTCTTACCCTTCTTCTGTTCATCCTTCTTGTCATTCTTTTGTATTATCCTTCTTGTCCTTCTTCTTGTCCTCCTTCTTGCCCTCCTTCTTGTTGTCGTCATTCTTCCCATCCTTCGGGTCCTCCTTCGGGTCCTCCTTTGTCAGGCGCAACTGCAAAGAGCGTGCAAGCAGGTCCTCGCTCACGAACACCATGGCGCTGCTCCCGAGCATGGCCTCGACGGCACGCTCCACGAGAAACGGCTTGAGCACCTTCGCGTGGTGGTCGTCGAAAGTCAAGGCCAACACACTGCGCCCGCTCTCGGTGCAGCCGTGCATGCCTGCGCCGCCCGCAGGCGTGCCGAAGTGCACCCACCTGGGCTTCCCCGCCTCGTGGCAGAGCACCTTGAGGAGCTCGATGTCGCTGTCGTGCGGGAACCACGGCACCTCCGTTCCCGTGAGCTGGCGGTAGAGTTTCCGCTTCTTCACGGCCGCAGTCACGAGGGCCTTCTCGGGGCGGACGGCTGTTGCAGCTTCGTCGCGCGCCTCGGCGCCACAATCAGCGCCCTCGTCCTCCGGCAGAGGGTGGCAGTACCCCAACTTCTCTCGCTCC